ATATATATATATATATATATATATATATATATATATATATATATATATATATATATATATATATATATATATATCCAGCACAGTGTGTATATTCTCTTAGTCAGTGGGGAGTGCAGTAGGCACAGTAACACGGGCCAATGCTACAGTGGTCCCTGGGGATGGTCCTGGGTGAATACAGGGACTCCAGAATTCAAATCCCTACCCCTACCTCCTGGGGCCCAGTTTTTAGCTCCTTTCTGATAGCTGCTTTCTGTAGGGGGAGGGTGGGGAAGGGTGGACACAGGTAGGGTAAAATCCCCCTGAAGATGAAAAGTTTCAGGAGAGAGAGTAGCTTAGCTGAGCCACAGGGACCAGGCTCCTGTGTTAATTGGATCTGCAGGGCACTGGGGCACTCAGAGCTGACTTGGCCTTTAGGTCCTGATTGGAGATCTTCCTTACCAATCAATAACTGTCTGATCTTCCCCACATATCTTACCATGACAATATCCAAAAAATGCCTGAGATACTTTAGACACTCAAACTTTTGTTTGTAATGGAAAGTTTGCTAATATATTTTTTACTATTATCATAACCTTCCCATATCAAATTGCCAGACTTCTGTTATACAATAAACTCAAAGAATGTTGTAATTTTTTTTTAATAGAGCAAGCACAGCTTTTATCTATAACCAAAGCTGCACAACAGTTTTAGAATACTTTTTGGTTTTATTTATTTGATTGTTGAATTTAAATGATCTTTGTTCCACCATAAATATAACTATAAAGTAATGCAAAACTCCAACATGTAGAAGAAATGAGCCTTTGATGTGATGTCAGGGAACTTTTATCGTCAGCACAACACTCTACCATCTTTTTATTGTAGCTTGAAATTTCTTCAACAAGGCATAAAGCCTTTCATTTCACAGATACTGCTGGGAGAAATGCTGGGGTGTGGCAGAGAAGAATTACTGAATGAGGGCTGAATGTAGGAGTAGCTAGTTTCAAGGTTCCAAGTTGAAAAACTGATGTTATCCTGTTCTTAGGCTCGGGGGCGTTTGTTGGATATCTTTACCTTGGATGGGGACTGGAGCAGTGTCTAGAGGGATGGTTTGCTCTTAGACCTTATCCTGGTGTGTGATTAGTGATGGGGCATCGTTCTGGGTCTAGTGACTGATGGTATGTAATGCTGTTGGAAAACATTACATCAACAACAGCAAAATGCCAGCAAGCTTTGATATAAAGTATGCATATGGGGTTTGAGAATCCACATCTCTCAGGTTTCCAAATTCCACACCTTTCCATCCCAAACCATTCAGTTTTGGTGTGGCACAGCGGGGACTGAGTCATTGTTTTTAGAGCCTGAATCCTTTCCACAGTAGCTTCCTGACTTTTCATCAGTTTCTGTAACATGCTTCTTTCAGTCTCTCTTTCTTTGGGGGGACTATTTTGCTATAATTCTTCCTCTTGTGCCTCCCCAGTCCTGGAAGAAGTACTCTCTATCCTCTGATTGCTAACCACCAAATTAGTAAATTGGGTTGTTGTCTCTATTCAAAACACTGCTTCCTGACAAAGCTAATCACCCTATCATTTAAGGGACCCTGCCTCCCAACACCAGGTAGCTTCTCACCCACTAAGAGTGAGAGTGATATTTGGAATGAATATCACCACTCCAAAAAACGACATTTCCTTTTTCTTGTACATAACTCTTACAGATAAAAATCCCCGTCAATATCAGAGGTGATGGATAATTATCATAAGCACCTTCCCACTGGCAGACCCTGTCCCCAGAAAGTCGTGCCACCATATGCCAAGGAGTTCAAGGGGTTGGGCTCATTAGACTTGCTGGGTTTATTAAATTTTGGCTCACATTATTTTGTTAACTTAGGAGTTTAAAATTTTTTCCAAGACAGGTAGGTGCATGATAGAACAGTATAGAGTTGTTCATATATTTATCCCTCTTCTGTCTTTTACCATCCCCTATGGCAGAGGCACATACCCGATCTCTGTCATGGTCTTGTTTTTCTATTTGTATCTTAATCAGACCATGTGTTAGACTGAGTCCTAATGTTGCTTCTTCTTTCTGGGTTTGTAGTCTTTTTTCCTTTTCCTCATCTTCCTTTTCAGGACTAACCCTCTATTCATTTTTCCATCTAACATCCCCCCTCTTTATGGCATCATAATTCTCATCAAGAGTAACCAAATGATTATTAATCCTAAGCAGAAAGTCTGATGGTCGTGAAGAACATGACATTCCTCTAACACAATGGGGACAAGAGGTCAAAAGAGGCTGAGATTATATAACCATTATACCTCTATTTCTTATGGGAAGCCTCTGTATGGGGATAATCACAAATTCAATAGCTTTGGAGCATGTACAAAATTTGATTTTCTAGTTCCAAAGCCTAATAGTCTCAGGTTTGCTTGATAAATATAATGAATAACGAAGAAAAAAGTATAATAATGCATTTAATGCCGATTATATGACCAGGAATAAACCAAATAACCTAGTTTGAAGGCTCATATTAAATCTGTGAAGTTTTTCTGAATAGCCTCCTAAAAATGAAACCAGTGCTGTCGTGGTATAAAACGCCCCTTGCCAAGCTCCCTGACTTACTCTTGCCCATTTGTACCTCCCCTGATACATTTTCCCTCTGTGAAAAAAAAAAAAATGAATCCAGCAACATGTTGGGCAACCTCAGTGGGAATGGGAAATAAAACTAAAATTTACATTTGCCTCAACACATTGGCCAGAGATATGAGTCATTTAAAAATCTTTGAATACCTAGGATGGAAACTGATTCAGGGGAAATAGAGGGAGAGGATTGCAGGAGAGCTCTTCTTTTCTTTCCCAAACCTCTCTTCCATCCAAGANCAACTTTAATCTTTAAAATGTCAACGTTGGACAGAGAAATCACTCAAGATAGGCAACCTTGGTCGAAGGAGGGTTCTGCTGACCTACAATTAGTTTATTGAGTGTCAATGTGGGGACTTTCTACCACTTGGTATTAGTGGGGGAAAAAAAACCAAAAGAGTTTAGTCTGGCCCAGAATATATATTTTTATCACTTTTCATTGCTTTTCTTTTTAAAGAACTTTAAATAAATATTTCCATAAACTAATGATACTAAGCTCATTTTTTTTTTCAAATTGGTATTTCACTAGGAGATGGACCAAACTCTTCACTGTGTGGAGACCCTCCCCCACTCGGACTCTACCCAGGCACTCACGAGTTGGCGTGGATGAAATCCAAATGCAGCTGGGCCCGCCTCAGAGTAGCATACTTGTCACCCATGTCCTGGAACGCAACCTGTGCCGCCCTAAAAGACACCCTAAAAAACACCGCCGCCAGGCCGGACAACTGCACGCCCACGCCCACGCCCGCGCCCGCGCCCACGCCCACGCTTGAACACCTGGATGGGCAAACTCGGGCTCCCCCTGGCGACCAGAGCGCCAAACCCACCCTGCACTGTTAGCGAGGTTTCTGGCAAGATAAGTTGTTGCCTGGGCTTGGAGTCACCTTCTGAGCAAATGAGGCATCTGAGCTGGGCTCCTCTTCCCAAATTGAGTTTTATGTAACCTTCCTAGACAGTTGTTCCTATCATTCCCCAACTGGGCGCAAGACTGGTGTACAATTTGATCGGAAATGATTACACACGTAAACAATGTAAAGAATCTGGATCTCAAAAGGGAAACAAACTCATAGATACTGAGAACAAATTGATGGTTGCTAGATGGGAGAGGGTTTGGGGTGGGTGAAAAAGGGGAAGGGATTAAGAAGTACACATTGGCAGCTATAACAATAGTCACAGAGATGTGAAGTACAGCATAGGGGATATAGTCAACAATATTGTAACAACTATGTATGGTGTTAGATGGGTACAAGATTCACCAGGGTGATCACTTTGTAAGTTTTCCAAATGTCTAGTCACTATGTTGTAAACCTGAAACTATTGTATGTCAATTGTAATTGAAAAAGAAAATAAATATTTAAAAAGAACCTGGGTGGCGAGGTCCGGGAGCATAGGGAAGGGAAACAGGTAGTTCCCTTGTACTTGCACAGCTTGATACATAGAACCAGAGGTAAAGGTGGTCTAACCCCTGCACTTACCTTCCTGTGCCTCTTAAGTTAATCACGTTTTCTCCGGTTGAAGGAAAGAAAGAAGAAGAGAGATCAGCCAGAGAGAGAAAGGAAGAACTAAAGGCAGTCAGGAACAGCATTTGGGCTTTGAGGTAATGTGGAAGCTTGTGTTCTGTGGGAATCTGTCAGCTGACACTCAACTATTTGATGTGCTGGCCCAGCTCAAGGAATAGACATTCCGTATATTCCAAAAAAGAACTGGAGGTGGAAAGAGGGGAGGGCAGGGATGTGGCAGTTGGGGATAAATATAAGGAAGGGCTTCATACACCAGCTGTCCAAATGGTGTTAGTCACAAAGCCAAGTGCCAAAACCCAAGCTGAAGCAGGATTTAGCAAGGATGCTGTATGGAAGGAAAGGTGCTGGTTGGGATGAGAAATTTGTTGCCGTGGTTGACCTCTAAGAAATGTTCAAATTCATTCAATTTGGGGTTAGATGACTTGCAAGATATGGTAGTTCAGTAGTACTCAGCAGAGATTTTACATGATAGTTTTAAAACCAGAAATGACTATCTATTAAATAAAGAACCTGAATTGGATGTGTTTGTGATTTCCGGGACTCATACAGACAACAACACGGTCAAAAAAGAAAAAAAAAAATTGTCAGTTTTGGGATAGCCATTCTACTTCTAAAGAAAGCAGTTTATCAGCTGCTACATTTATAGGAATCAGGAGAGGAAGAGAGAATTTGAATGACAACCCAAAGGAACATGATGTTCTAGTTTAATCTGAAAACTGGAAGTAAACATAAACATTTCAAGTAATTTTTCCTGATTGGGCTTTTGTGCTAACAGTGGCTGATGTGGTAGTGTTTTGATTGCAACATTCTCTTTACTAAGCAACTTGAGTTATCTTTCCAATTTTTCCTTCCATAGAACTTCGCAAATATGATATTTTATTTTCATTTAATGGCCAAGAAAAGCTTGATGAGCCTCTTCTGGATTTATTTTACATCCCCAACTTCCAGCTGCTGTCTCAAAGCAATTTATTGTTGGGAGGGCACCAGAGCCACTAGCCTGTAATTAGTAAAGGCTATAATATCTCATTTCTACCAGAAGTGAGGGTGTGATCATCGTAGAAGCACTCCTAATAATCTGAGCAGAGCCCTTCTAAAGTAAGGGGCCAGCCCCAGAACCTTAGACAGTACTGGCTGGCCCAGAAGATAGGCCCACATGGAGACCTGTTAGATGGTACTAAAAAGGAGGCTTGAGAGTCATTGCGCACAATCCACCAGAAGCCTTTTCCCCTTCCTCATTTCAACTCCATTTAGCCACCCTCCAGTCATAAAGGTAAATCCAGTTCCTCCTCAAGGTATCCTTCTGGA